TGGCTGGCTGGCTGGCTGGCTGGCTGGCTGGCTGGCTGGCTGGCTGGCTGGCTGGCTGGCTGGCTGGCTGGCTGGCTGGCTGGCTGGCTGGCTGGCTGGCTGGCTGGCTGGCTGGCTGGCTGGATGGATGGATGGATGGATGGATGGATGGATGGATGGATGGATGGATGGATGGATGGATGGATGGATGGATGGATGGATGGATGGATGGATGGATGGATGGATGGATGGACGGACGGACGGACGGACAAATGGATGATGTACCACCAAGGTTTTAGCAATTGCTACCAGCTACACAGGTGACTGAATAGGGAGCCTGCCCTAATTTTTGACATGGGCAGTTGAATATTTGGGTGAAAGCTCCTGGGATCTCTAGAGAGGTTCTTGGGGAATCCCCTCCCCCACGTTTTAAGCTAACTCACAGGGCTGTTAGGAAAGAATAAAGAAGGAAAGGGAGGCAGGGGGAACCTCCCATTCTTGAACCCCAGAGGAAGGTCAGAATTCCACACCATCCAGAATTCCACACCATCTATGAAGAAGATGCAGTGGTGGGATTCAAATAGGTGAACAACCGGTTCTCTGCGTGGATGCCGCTTCCGAAAGTCCGTTCTGGGCCTGGGCAACAAAAAATTAGCTACCAGTTCTGCCGAAGTGGTGGGAACTGGCTGAATCCCACCACTGAGAAGATGGGCAGTTTCTAAATATATTGTATAAAGATAGAGATAGATAGATAGATAGATAGATAGATAGATAGATAGATAGATAGATAGATAGATAGATAGATAGATAGATAGATAGATAGATAGATAGATAGATAGATAGATAGATAGATAGATCTATTTATCTATCTATGTATTCATCTATCTATCATCTATTTATCATCTATCATTTATCATCTATCTATCATCTATTATCTATCTATCATCTCTATATATCTATATCTATCTATTCATCTATTTATCATCTATCTATATAGCTATATCTATCTATTCATCTGTCTAACTATATCTATTTATTCATCTATCTATCTATCTATCTATCTATCTATCTATCTATCTATCTATCTATCTATCATCTATCATCTATCTTCTATATCTATCTATCTATTTATCTGTCCTGTCCTGTCCTGCCTGCCTGTCTGTCTGTCTGTATTTTTTCCAAGGTCTGCATCCTTGAGTAGCCTCTGGCATTGCTAGAATGAATAATGTTCACAAAAACAGACAAAAAAAAAAAATCTCTGCCCACCACAATCAACTCCAGTCCAGGGTGAAGAGAAAGAATTGTGGTTTAGTCAAAAAAATTACACAGACACAGGCTAAGCTTTCAATGCCCATCCTGGTTGCCATCCTAATGCTTTGGTGCCACCCTGAGGACCCCCTTTGAAAAAAGAGGCCGGTCCAAAGACAGATTCTTCCATTCCAGAAGACTTCCAGGATCTATGCAAGGAACGCAGGGATCCTCCAGCTCTAAGGGAGTTTGGGGGCCTGGGAACCCCCACAAGGGCTAGTAGCCAGTTCTGGGCACAGCAGGTAAGACCCAGGGCAGGATCTGAGACTGCAAGGCTCAGATCACCTCCTGTGCTACCGTCCTCCGGGCGTCTGGGGGCCTGGAAGCCCAGCCACAGAGCAAGACACGTCGGGCTGCTGAAAGAAATGCAGCTAGGAAGCAGTGCACTGGGGGGGTCATACGTGTGTGTACATGCACACAGGGGTGTAGGTGTGTGTAGCCCCATAGCAACTTTTTCCTTTCCATCCCGGAAGAGGCTACACCCGTGGCACTCCCATTGGAAGCCCTCACTCACCTTGGTTCCCTTTGCTGGCTAAGGAAGCCCCCTGGGTGCCCAGCGCAAGCAGTGCCAGGGCTAAGAGGAACCCCCAGGCCTTCATGGTGCTGGTGGAGCTGCTGCGTCTGAGCCCCGGAGCCCAGCCAGGCTGGATTTAAAGAGCCCGGCAGGTGGGGCTCCCTGGATGCCGGCTCTGACAGGAGCCTCTCCCAGGAGCTGTGTGGATTCCCCACTAAGCCAGCCCTGCCCAGACAGGTTCCCTGAAGGTGGAGGAGGGGGAGGAGGTGTGGCTGGAAGACTCCCACACGTGGGCAGCCACCTGGGCTGGAGGTGAGGCTGCGGGTGCCGCTCTATGCCAAGTGGAGCTGTACTTCAATCCTGCCACTGCCCCGGGCGTGGAATGGGCCCCGAGGTGGGGCGCTCAGTAAAGGCATCCTTTTAGAAAGATAAAGAAAGCGTATATTTAATGTGACATATGTTAACAGCAGCAAGAATTGTATTTGGTCAGTATTGGAAAAAATAAGGAAACACCCTCCGAAGAAGGGATAATAAGAAAATATTGGGCTGTGCAGAAATGGATAGACTTAGCTACTCAAGGATGCAGCCCTTGGAAAAGAGATAGATAGATAGATAGTTAGATAGATAGATAGATAGATAGATAGATAGATAGATAGATAGATAGATAGATAGATAGATAGATAGATAGATAGATAGATAGATAGATAGATGGATGGATGGATGGATGGATGGATGGATGGATGGATGGATGGATGGATGGATGGATGGATGGATGGATGGATGGACGGACGGACGGACGGACGGACGGACGGACGGACAGACAGACAGACAGACAGACAGATAGATAGATGATAAATATAGAGATAGATAGATAGATAGATAGATAGACAGACAGACAGACAGACAGACAGACAGACAGACATGAGAGAGAGAGAGAGAGAGAGAGAGAGAGAGAG